ATGAAGTATTGTCAAATCTTTTGCCCATCTTCATTTTGTCGGCACATTTCAACAGATCTGAAACACGTTACACTCAATTAGTCGATAAATAATCATATAAACAAAATCAAACCACAGTAAACGATCCACTATGTAAGGAGAAATTAAAAATATATAAGGACTTATAACAATTAAGTACTTTGTAAAAGTTATACATAGTTAGTTTTAATTTTTCATAGAATTACTGCAACACTAAAAAACTATTTGAAAAAAATTGAACTTGTTGTGCCATATTATGCATAATCTTATTATGGTTTGATCATTATAAATATATGTATTTACCATTCATGATTCATGAGTTTGCAAATGAAATTCCCCAAACAATTATCCCATGGTAATACACTTGGGGCTAACCACAGATGTATGAACCGGAGCGAAAGGAAATCCATCAAGGAAATCCAAATCCATCCATCCGACAAATCTGATATAATACCTGTATAAAAAATTACACAAAGGATTAATGTCCCTTATGTATGTACTTTTTTTCACCAATATATTGAAAACAATATGAGATAATATTCTCGTGACATAAATATGCTTCATAAGGGACTATACCATTGAACAAAACAAGATTATCAGCTAGAATCTTGGGTACATTCACATCTCGTAATGCTCTTAATACTACTTGTCTCTCATCTCCGTCGGGCATCTGACGTATTAGATTACCGGCCACAAGGATTACTGCTCCTAAAATCGTAACGCTTCTGATTGCAATAAATAAATATGAACCTTATCCGTAATTTAATAAGGTTTAAAACCAGTATACAATTATATTTGTATCTTTTATTGAATTGATTGAAGTAGAATTCAAATACAAAAAAAAAATGGAATACAGCTTTACAATATTTTTAAAACATAGATATAATATGGTAAGTTGTAATGGAATCATTAATAATAGGTATATAAATAATAGACATAACATCATCACATACTAGATATTTAGTTATAAGTCATACTAAATAAAAAAACTAAACTGAACGCATGCATGAAAAATAAATTATATTGTTGATTAATATGTACATATATGTACATAAAACGGCTTAGTTATAATTACATAATTATAATAGTGTGCCAGTTTTTTTTTATTTATATAGAGAGATAATACACTAATACCGGGAACGGAGAAAGATTATTCAAACTATTTTTAAATATGGCTTGTAACGGTAAAATTAAATCTTACCTGAGAAGACAATTGTTCAGAGCTCAATCTAAACGTTGTAGTAATTTTTCCTGCCAGATTCTTGGCGTCGTAGAAACCATATGAAAATAAAGAAATTTCTGCTATAGGAGCGTAGTCGGGCACCATCATTGCAATAGGACGGAACAATGCTTTCAGATTATCTGGTAACTCCGTTCTTCCTGTTTAGAAATAGAAATATTATGGCAAATGGTTATAATTTTAATATTACTAGTATGACGCTTCTTTGTCTTAACTATATGTTAACTAGTAAACCCGGCGAACTCCGTTTCGCCACCAGAAGGCTTTTATATAACATTTCGTTTGGTGATTAAAAGATGAAGATTTTTTTGTTTTACATTTGAAAATTATGATTTAAAGATGTCAAGGCAACTTCAAATGAGGCAACAGTGTTCTTTAGTTCTTGAATTTTAGGATACAAATCGTTAGTTAGAATGAATCGCAATTCTTCTCTAATTATTTCACGAACATTAGTAGCCGATAAACAAGAGCAAGTAGTAGTACGACTCTTAACGCGCTGAGTGACGAATTCCATTTCTACAGGAGTATTGCGAACAGGAGTGTTGGAATGATCACCTCTCCTTGGCTGTTTACGTCTGCATGCATCGCATACCCATAGACTTTTCATTTCTAAACTCATCTCAGTAAAATCCTGGTTTGATATGACATGATATCTATCTTTACATTTGTGACATTGTAACGCCTGAGAGTCATCAAGTTCATCAGGGCACCCAGCACACATAAAGTTTGCCATGGTTATTGAGTGAAAAAAGAGAAAACTAATAATAATATAAATAATGTTATCACAGAGCTTGGATTTGAACCCTGGATATATGAAATGAGAATCGTGGTTTCTACGGCTGCGCCACGAACACTAGGTACATGGTTCTTAAATAAGTCCCTGGTATTAGTACTTGGAGCAAACTGTGTTGAGAAAGTTCAGTGAACTCATTAGGGTTGACACACTCCGATCACTAATGAACGTTAATGATGTCTTTTAAATGCACTGATTTTAAAAAGTTTTTGCTTAATATCTTCAAATATACAACACAGAGTGTTATAAAATTTTAAAATATTAAAAAGTTACAATAACTGAGCACGAATAGAGAAAATGATTCAGTTAAAGAGTAATAATTACACTAAGAAAGAATTAATTACTTAGCAACAAAATTATACGTGTCTACTTCACGACGCGTACGGGACACGTACGCGTACACCTACGCGTTATATTTTTAACTATAATTTATCTTTTTTAGTCAAACCTTTGTAAGATGCAAAAATATTAATACAATATTGGTAATCAAGGAAGGATACAGCAAAATGGTTGAACTATCAGGCTTCCCATAATCTGTTTAGAAACGGTAGATCAATAACCTCAACTTGGTTAAAGATTTACCATTAGGACACAAATTAAATTTCGTTCAGAAGCTTCCTAAGAGAATATCTAGAACACAGAACATACTTCAACAGGAGTAAATTAAACGATTTGTATTTGTATGTATATAATATTTACTTAAAAGATAAGATAAGATAAATACGGTTCAGCCGTTCTTGGGTTATAAGTGGAATCACTAACACGACTATCTTTTATATATATAGATGGCTTAAAAATGGATGTTTAATGGCTTAAAAATTACATCACTGAAAAAAATCAAAGCACAACTAAACAAATACAAAGTCATAAATAATAAATAAAGGAAATGTATTGTGTACTTACGAAAATCTAAGATATCATTACACAACACCATGGTCATATTATTTTTCGTAACATACATTCATGATATAAATCTTATAAGGCCTTTTATACAGGGTGACTGGTGAATTACTATCAATATTTAAGGAGAATACTCGGTACATGATTCTCATTCGAATTATGTAAAAAAAATAGGTACTTAATTTTTGACAAAATTTCCGTATAAATAAATAAAGTGTGTACACGTTCCAAGTGTTCCAAGTGTGAACGCGTGCGGCGGCGTGCTGATACAACACTACGCCGCAACACGCGTCTGTGTGAGTGCGTGTGTATACCTAATCTGTAGGGTGTTCATACGATGCGTAATTAATTACATAACTTTTGGTTAACTTTACTTAGAAGTCTATTAATATTTATGTTATATTAATATTTATTTTGTCATATATGATCGTCAAATATCACGTCCTCAAATATTGATAGTAATTCACCAGTCACCCTGTATAATGCATGGATGATTTAAGAAGGTTGATAGAACGGTAGAAATATTAAGTGGAAAATATGGACTGACATAAATAAAATAGTCTTAACGTTTCAGTTACTTGTTAAATTAAATGCCAATAATCCAATATGTAAGGTTTGATCTAAAATAATATGTAAGGCTAGGGAGGAGTTGTATGAATGCGAATGAAAGATATTGTTGGTTTGTGTAGCTTGATGTGAAAAAATGCAGAGGAGATGAGAGGAAAGGAAAAATATATTCATAAACATATTTAGTTCCAAGTTGATTACAGTTATAAATAAATATTAGTTTAAAAAAACCAAAAAAGAAGACGCTTGTAACTAATGTTTAGCTTATATTTTTTAGTACGATTTATCAATTAGTTTTTTGTGGACATGCGCAGATCGCACACTAGCTCTGTCCCTTTCACTCTCATAGAGGATCTATGAAAAGAATATATTTATCGTTGCGGCCCTAACAACGATTATGGGAAATTGTTAACGAATTATTGCATTTTCATCAGTCCTTGAGATATATGCAAAGTTTCAAGTTAATCAGATGTTAGACCATATATGTAAGATATGTTTAGAACACCTGGCAAACTTTTAGACCATATGTGTAAGAAATGTTTAGAACACCTGGCAAACATTTAGACTATATGTGTGAGAAATGTTTAGAACACCTGGCAAACATTTAGACCATATGTTTAAGAAATGTTTAGAACACCTGGCAAACATTTAGACCATATGTGTGAGAAATGCTTAGAACACCTGGCAAACATTTAGACCATATGTTTAAGAAATGTTTAGAACACCTGGCAAACATTTAGACCATATGTGTGAGAAATGCTTAGAACACCTGGCAAACATTTAGACCATATGTGTGAGAAATGCTTAGAACACCTGGCAAACATTTAGACCATATATGTAAGAAATGTTTAGAACACCTGGGAAACATTTAGACCACATGTGTAAGAAATGCTTAGAACACCTGCCAAAAAATTAAGACCATATGTGTTAGAAATGTTTAGAACACCTGGCAAACTTTTAGACCATATGTGTAAGAAATGCTTAGAACACCTGTTAGATCCATAAACGGTGAAGGCGCCGTATAGTGTCGCGGGCGCACGCGCGGCCATTCATAGCAGGCGCCGGGCCGCCGGAGTTATTATTATTATTTTTTCGATTAGCGAATCGCAAGTTTAAAAATTAGGTATATCGATATTTTCAATAAGGTACCTGGGGGTATTAAGGCCTAGCTAAGGGAAATTTGTGATAAAATGAAAAGTGTCCATCATAATCAACAAGTTTTATTAGTAATCAGTCATTTACTTAAATAACTACAAAGTTTTAACAAAAAATAGCAACTTCTGCTTAAAATTAAAAGAATATTTAACTTTTTTAAAAACTCTCTCTGTAGGCCTTATTATACTAAGGGAGGGTAAAAAGGCCTATAGTTTAAACTATCGAAAAATCAACTTAAACTTTATAAATTGGTATTTTTGACATCAATAATCATACAAATAAAGTAATAGGAACATAAATGGTCTTAGAAAATTAAATAAATTGCCTCTATTCGCATCCACCAGGACACTGAAAGTCATCAGTATCTTCCATCGACAAACCGACACACTGTTCATGATACCACTTGAAGCATTGCGAGCATTGTCTCATTGCATCATCCATTCTGTCTTCTTCGCAGGCATGACAGTACCAGCTCACTTGCTTTTGTGAAGTACCTTTGATGGTGGTAGACTTTTTTGCCGATACTGTTTTAGCTTTCTTTGGATTTGAAGTCTTTTTAGATTTCTTTTTTCTGTTCTATCTTTCTTTCCTTCATTTAGTTTCTCATCTTGCTTGGTTTCCTTTTTTTTGTTATCTTTCATTACCTTACGATTTTTTTTCTCTTCATTAAATTTATCAAACAGATCTTTTGTGACGGAAGTGCCTCTATAATTAATGGCTTTTTGCCTGAGAGTCGGTGTTTTTGTTTGATCTTTAGCAGGCGTAGGCAGGAGATCATAAAATTCATATCTTTTTATCTGATTCAGAGGCAAATCATCAGATGCGTCTGAACTCGAGCTTGTACCATAAATTGTACGATAATAGCTGCGTTTCATGGTTGGCACTCTTGAGATTTGCCCTGTTGAAGTTGATGCTATAGCTGGTGATTGATAAGCTTGTTCTGAAGTCGTTGATCGAAGACAATCAACAGGTGAAATATTTCCTCGCAGAACATCAGATATTGGTATCTGTGTCAAAATTGATGGTGATCTATCACTAGATTCTGGAGTCTTCCGTTGTTGACTATCAATAGGTGGTACATTTTCTTGGTCAAGATCAGGTGTTGAGGCTTCTGATAAAAAAGTAGGTGTTGTATTTCCGCATTCTGGAGTTTGTGCTCGAGGATAATCGAGAGCTGGGACGTTCTCTTGGTGGTCATCAGGTGCTGGAGCTTCCGTTAAAACTGAAGGAGCAAAAGCTGTTTCTGGTATAAGCTGTTTCTGGTATAACCAGTTTAAAAAAGTAGGAGTATAATAAGGCCTATAGTCAAATTTTATAGGCCTTAATATCCGCCGACCGCGTGCTTACAAAAAACAAAACAAATATTTTTTTTAATACGATACACCCTTTAATATGGTAAGGTAGGTGCAAGCATAAAATAATTAACGAACAGACAGTCAATGCAGGTATGTAACTGTGATATTACAAAATTTACTTACGTTTTGCTGGAGCCAATTTTTATAATTCCGGCCGCGCGACCGCTCCCCAAAATGTTTTCGACGACGCTGGCGCCGTGGCCAACGAAAGAGCGCGTCCGCCGCTTCGCAGCGACGTGTACACGCGCTATGCATGTGTGAGTGTAACCTTGATCGTCAACTGTTATATTTCGTACGATTTTTGTCACTTAGGCCTTATTAACCGACAGGCCTTAATACCCGCGGGTACCTTATTGCTATAAATAGTTATGCTTTTCACATTAAAATAATTTCTTTTATAATTACTTTAAATAATTATTATTATTATTAATAAATATTATAATTTGGAACTTTTTCAGGTAAATTAATTATTTTGTATTATTAGGATAAATCGTTAATCTACTTCTGTTAAAAATGGTGTTTTACAATCAAAAATAATATTAATGTTTGATATATCAAAATAAGTATCGAAACAACATGAATATGAAATATTTATTTATAGTTATGATTTTTTAAATATCGATATTTTTTATTCGAGTCTACGCCGCCCTTTTAATATTTTTTTTTACTAGTTAGTTCCTCGTGGAAATTTCTTCCGAGTGGATTACATGTTGGTTGCATTTTTATAAAATTGTGTTGTTTTATAAAATGTACTCCAACCAGGAATATTTCAATGTGGTAATGTGTCTAGTTAAATGTAGTTGTAATTATGCGGAATCGCGTAGACTTTATGGCGAACTGTTTGCTTCTTCAAGAAACATACCATTACCGTCACTTAAGGCATTTCAGCGATACTGATAAGTGATAACGCAGTTAAGGGGGTTGACACAATTTTTCATACACACTGTATATTATGTCATAGTTATTTTAATGTTATTTAATTCAAGGACATATTATAATTATAAAAACATATTCAAATTTAATATTATTCATTTCATAATGCTGTATGATACATTCTGGACAACTTCTTATAACTTGTTATACGAATGTACTAATTTATTTATAGAGAATTTGTTCGAGTTTAGTTTCCAAAGTTTATATTTTTAAACCCCTGCTGCTTTAAATTAAACAAAAGTTTTGTATAATCAACGCTTTACAGTTTCAAGAAGTGCAGCAGTAATGTATTGTTCTACCAAATAATTTGACCACATAGAATAAAGTTAGTGTTGCATTTTATTCAAGTTCCTATTTAAGTTTTTTTTGTCATTTTGTTTCTACTATTTACAATGTTTTTATATCGACATTAAGGCCAATGTCTCAATTCGATATTAAAAAAAATGCTTTTTACAGTTAAAATTAATACATTATCCGTTTTTGAAATGTACAAGTAAAATTATATACCTAGCAAATCATGCCCGTTTTCAAAGGCCTCATTTTAATAATTAAAAAAATATTCAATTTGTTTCAAAGAATACGAGTATTCCAAAGTAATGAATGTAGTTAATTACTATTTAATTTGGCAGCGTTTGATAATCAAAAAAATATTTTACTTTTGAAATTAGGTATGTATCAGTACCTACCTACCAATGGATTTAATTATTCTAAAATCATTTCTGAATTCTTATCTGAAAAGGAATAATATCTTATCGTATATAGCACGAATTGTAAAATTGTAAAGAGAAAATAAAACAACACTTTTATTTGTTATAATTAATTAAAATTATTTTCCAAGTTATGTCTTTAATTTAAAAATATATTTACGTTTAGCTTTAAAATTAAATTACAAAATGATAATAATTTTAAGGACGATGATAACAATGGAAATGACAGCAGTGATGAAGATGATGATCTTTTTCAAACTTAACATTGATCATTTTCTCAATTTTGTACAACAATAAAGTATTATTTTTATACCGTATTCATCTATAAATAATTTCAATAGTTTTTAATCCTTCTTCCATCATTTATTAGACGATTAATTTTCTAGACAAAGCTTAAATGATACTACATCTCTTTACACTTTATTTCGATCTGGCAAAAGTTTAACAACCGATTTTTTTCCTGGCAAATTAATTCTGAGCTTTTAGATAGTTAAATAACATGCTATTAAAATTTCAGCTATACTAAAATATTTTGAGAATTTTTTTTTTCTTAATTCAACATTGCCGCTTGGCACCGTTTAAACAACAATAAAAATATCTGGCAATAATAAATTTATGTTGTGAATAGTTCAATAAAAATAATAATAATAAAAAAAACCTTCTTAAAATGATTTGAAATAATAATTTGTTTACCTGCACAAGTACGATGCGCACTGATGAACGCAACCACTACCGGCAGCCAGATAGCCCGTAGGACGTCCAGGGGAGTGTGAGAGATAGCATATCTAAAAACTAGCCTACCTGAAATGCTTGTTCAAAAACGTTGCTAGCTCTTAGAATATAAGGTATATGCTTAACAATTTCTGTAAGTACTAGTTCAAAGTAATAGCCTCAGGGTTGAAATTTTCAGTAAGCTTAACTGTGAATACAATAACTTGCACAGTGTAAAAACAGTTTGAAAATACAAATGTTACATAAGGATACATTTAGCCAGAGAGGTATTTACATACGTAGGTATTAAGTGGAGTAAAAAACGGCTATTAGGCTATTAGCACAATTGTGTACCATTCATTTAAATAACAACGATTAGAAGCTTTTTACTCGTAAAATATGCTATTTAATGACGTCAATAAAAATGTTGCAAATCATTAATCGGACACTAGTGCGCTTTTAATTGTTTCAGTATAAAAAAACATTATTGAATTTATTATTTAGTTTTTGTTTTTAGACAGCTACGCCATAAATTATCAAGTAATACAGAGTCTTTTAAAGGCAAACATGAAACCACCTTGCCTAAAAAACAACATGCTTCAGAAAATGTTAGACACGCATACTATGTACAAATGCCTGCCGCTAAAAGAATTTTGGCAATATTAAGATTACCCCCTTACTCACACATATACTCAGACACACATTCACACATTTACATACACACACACACACACACACACACACACACACACACACACACACACACACACACACACTCACATGCAAGAGTACATATACATACTTCAGCATTTTCTATTGATAAACTTTATTTCTGTTTGGATTAAATTTACTTCTTTTTTTTATAAGTTAGCTATCATCATTTATTTGTAATTGCTTATTTTCCAACGTTTGTTAATTATAATTATAATAATAGTGGCGGGGGTAGGATAATGTTACTCCTATTTTAAGTATTTGTAAAAGGGACTGTCTGAAAACCAGCGTTTCCCAGGGCCACGGTCCAGAGAAACATGCAGCTGAGACAGCTCCCATTGTCTGTGTAAGCATATTATGTATTATGTTTTCTTTATTCTATCCCTATGTATTTCAATGGTTACTATGTTTCTGACAATAAAAGGATTTTATTATTATTATTAAGTAAATTTATATAAATAGTCACGTATAGGTAGGTATATATACAATATATTATGCAAACTAATTTCTTATTATTATGTTATCGAAAAAACCACACCAAAGGTTTCAATATATGTATAATGTTGTGTTAAATAGTTAAGTAAGTCTCAATCCGTACAGCCACATCCACTTGTTTCGTGTACTCCTTTATGTTTTATATAGGTATTTAGGTTCGTTCGTAACGTGCTATTATTCGCGTACTGTATTAAAAGCTTATCTCAGTTTCAAAGATATGACTATTTACAGGGCCGGGTTATGCCTGTCGGGGCCCCTAGGCAATGCTCACCCAGGGCCCCCTACCCTCTTCTAATTTTTTCGTTAACACTACAAAATTCAAAATTACACCGTTTTTTACTAACCTGGGTATATCATCATATTATTCAATAAAAATGTTGAATCAAATGAACAGAATGTTTATTTATGCATTTAAAACAAAACATACATAGCTTAAATATTAACTCTTCTAACTTTTTTTGATACAAAATCGTTCAAGATATCCTGAAAGGTAATCTTCTCCAACACGTCATTTTCAATTGCCATTATAGCCAGTGAATTTAAACGGTTTTGAGACGTCGTTGAACGAAGACAGTTTTTAATTAATTTTTTAAATTAAACTATATAAACTAATTAAACTATAATAATAATATCTAATAAGGAATGCGTTCCGAAATGTACTAAAATAGCGTCGATGTAATGTACAGAGCAAATTTTCAAATTAATTTTTTACTGTTTAAGAAACATTGCCCATTCTTTTCCCTGTAGCACAGGCAGTTGCCTATAATGCCTAATGGATAAAACGGCCCTGACTATTTATACCTACTATACAGATACTTCTCATCACCTCTACATTTGTATTTAAACAACCAGTATTTTAAAATACTTTATCTTTAAAATAGTACAATCAACAATGAAATGATGAATATAGTTTGAAAACATTTTTCACTCTATTATTTTGGTATAGGTTTTTATAAGTTTGTGTTATCTTTTTTATGACTGAAATGATAATTTAATTTCTTTCAGTAAGGCGATATTTGCTCAAATTTTTATGTTATCGTTAATTTCATTTAACTGGTGTTGATAAAATATTGCGAATTAAAATACTAATAGTACTGACTTTTTATAACATTCACGTCAAAAATAACTTTAATATTTCAAATATTATTATTTCTATTATAATGAAATCATGTTTTATAATTTGTGTGCTACCTCTTGTACTTGAGAATGTCTTTATTAGATTAAAATATTATAGCAACATAATTTTTTTTTTTTGTGATAAATACAAAAAATATTTTCCGTTTTGTTTGACTGGCATAGTAAAAGTCTTCGTAATAATATTTACGAAATAAATATTATGACGAAGACTTTAAAATACCATTTTCTTGGAAATTCATGGAAATCATATTAATTTTTGATACTTAGGTAAGTGAAAGAAATCTTGAAATAATATTTATATTTCTTTTCTTTATTTTCAAATTATTTGAATTTATTTACTAAGTTTTCAAAGAAAAACGAAAACATAATCAATTTATATCAGAAAGCTAAAGTAAAAGAATAATAAATGTATTTTAAATTGATAAGTAGGATTTGTCTGCTTTCTGAAGGTATCAAATTTGTTGCGGATCTCTAGAAAACTGTTTGAACAAAAATAAATCTTATTACCAACAGTTTAAAGTATAATTTTACACGTACTTCCTTCAGGTGCAGAATTGGACG